TACTAACAGTTTTGAAAAGTATTTTCCCAAATGGTCGACGAACGATGAATGCAAATATTTTTCATTTATGAAATAAAACTTTAAAATTTTCTATCTCGAATTAGGTGTTTGATTTTACTCCCTTTTTGTGGTTACGGGTGTCAAATGATGGTTTAACTTATGTTGTCTATAAATAGGAGTGAGGGTTCCGAAAATCCTCCCACAACAGTTCCATTTCCTCAAGTTGCTTCTGTGTGTTTCTTCTCTAGGTTGTTTCTTTCTTTGTTTCATCTACATCGCTTTCAAGCACTCGCAAGACCTCTTTGGATTTATTATGTTTGAGGAGGTTTCAGTTCTGACAATGCACTAGGTGGAAAGCCTTCAAGAGTTCTACGTTTGCAGGAAATTGAAGGTTTTGAGGGTGGTTGACAGTAGTGACTAAGCAACAGATGTTTATGGTAGGGACTTGGTCTTCTACTGGGAACATTTCGAGTGTGGGTTGAGGTTCACCTTTTGTCGAGAACTACAGTCTATCCTTACCAGTTATGGTATCATTCCGGCACAAGTAATGCCAAATTCAACCGCTGCCATCATGACCTTTGTTATCTTTCTGCAGCGATTGGTCATACCGTGGTTGACCAACCTCTTTTCTTCTTCAACTTCAAGGTCGATCGTGACAGCTATGCAGTGTTCTCGGCGGGCTTTAGGATTCAACTCATGAGACTTGAGAAAAAAATTAAGGACTGTAAACTGAAGTTTCTAGTATTCTCCAACCAATGAGGTTGGGGATCAGAGTCCGGCCCGTTATATGCACCCTCAAGAAGATTAAGACCCTTCTAGTGAACTTGAGGGAATACGAGTCGATGATTGAGGGATGAGAGTTGTTGGTGCACCAATATATGAATTCTGACATGCTGAAGAGGGTTTTGTGGTCGGAGGAGTTCGAGGTAATTGTCGACGAGTTGTGGGCGGCTTTTGATGTAAAAGCAAAGAAGAAGAAAGAAGAGGCCACGGAAAAGGCTAATGGAAAGAAGCCAACGCGACACGTAGTCCACCAAGGAGGAGAATGATGTTCCTTCGCCACAAAAATTTTCGGCTCCTGCGAGGGCCGACCAAAAATGAAGGACTTGGTTCTTTTTGGCCTAAAAAAAATTTAGTTATTTTTTCTCATTTGGAAAGTTATTCCTAACAGGGGTTTCTTGCCATGTAGTGGGACCTCGGGTGTTCATCTATTGGACTCTCCTAAAATGCCAAGTTACTTTTGACTGAGTGGAGAGGGAGGGGATCAAGCGTCTCCGACTGCAGTGATGTCACTAAGCCACTTGGCATTCCCTTCTTGATGCCAACTCAAGGGGTGAGGCAAGCTCAGCATAGCCTACACTGAGGTCCATGGCACGGTACAATCTAGTCTCCAGGAGAAAGGCATTCCTCACTGGGAGGGAAAGGCTCCCACTGAGAACGTCTCCCCACCTTCTCCTTGGACCAAACAAAAGGTTTCTCCTCCGAGATGGGTTCCATTCCTCAAGAATGGTGTCGATATTTGGTTAGGGTCTATCGAGCATTTTGCTATGGTGGATATTAAGATGGATAGGCGCATGGAGACGTCCGTAATGCCAAGCTATACTTGTCTCCTGGTAGAGATGCCTCACTCTGATTCCTTCGAGCAGATACTAGAGAGTATGGGTTGCATGGATTTCGCCTAGCACAGCAATCAATTCCACCTGATTGCATGGTTGGTCGCCCATTATCTGGTGAAGGCCTTTTGCTGGATGGAGGAAAAGATGGTGATCGCTAAGAGATGATAAATGAGGTCATTGCCAAGAAGACGGAAGCCGAGAAGAGGGTCATCCGAACGGAGAAGAGGCTGAATTTCTCCATTAAAAGTCAGACGAGGGAGACTAAGGAGTACAAAGCAGTCGTTACAACCTTGAAGAAAGAAATTGTTGAGCTGAAAGTGGAGTTGACAAAGATAGTGCCTGTCGTTCATCATGTTAAGGGCTTTCCCAACAGCTTCAAGAGGGCATCGACGTGGCTGCTCACAGTTCTGTAAAAGAGGATCTGATCGACTCTAAGTGGGCCTTTATGAGGCAGTTGGCTACCATTCCCCCAGACCCCAAGAATGATAGTGAGGAATCTGCGGGAGTGGGTGGAGAAAGAAGCAGTAGAGACGATAGATTCAATTCTACTTAGGCTTCTTTGTCTCTCTCTTTTTTTTTCCTGTGCTTTAAAGAAAAAAATTTTGTTATGTTCGATCGAAGCTTACCGAATTGTACAGCCGTGTCGAAAAATATGTACTTTTTTTTTATAATGGTAACTTTTTCCTTATACTTGTCACTTAAGCTTTGTGACAGGTTACTTTACCATTCAGTTGTTGATGGTGGTGTGCTTGGTAAAACAATTATCTTTGGGATATTTTGTCTGTTTGACTTTGATTTGTACTAACTGTTCAGCGCAAGTATATACTACATGTGTCTCGTTTGCTTGGTCGGCTGGTCAATTCAGTGAGGTCGCACCTTTCGCTAGGTCATAAGCGGATCTTGTCGTTGCATTCATGGGGGTAAATGTTAAGACTCGCTACTGAGGTGTTTTGCGTTGCACCCTTTACAAAGCTTATACCTATTGAGTAGGGACCCTCCAGAGTTTATCTGCGTCGAGTTTAGAGACATGGTTTTTTTATGCTTGGTGTTGTAAGTTGTTATTGTCGGTTAAGCTTTAAAAGTTATATTGGTCGGGCGTCTTGCACCGCTATCATATTTTTTGAAGTTTGTACAAATCAGATAGCTTGTGTTAATGTCGATTTTTTGCAATTGGCGCCCAAATCGCGTCTTTTCATGTATCGCTACTAGGGTGATTTGTAGCATACCCTTCGCGGAGCTACTCATTATTGAGTAGTGAACCACCTCCAGAGTCTTATTTGATTCAAATTTTGAGACCAAGATTTATGATATAGGAGCATTGTGGGTCATTCTTTATGTATTTTATCAACCAAATATCTATGGCGTTGTTGTCGTCTTTGCTATTCGGATTAGAGTTCTCCAAGTGTTGGCTATCTGCTGCAGCACAAACGTTTCGACTTCTCCGAGTCTCAATTTAACCTAGGAACATGTTAGAAAAAGTTATGTAATTTTCATAATAGAGAAAGTACATAATATTTAAGAGGGTAACGCCTTTTTATTATCGACCTGAGTGTCAATTGAGGTATTGGATCTAATCCACTTGTTGGCATCGCGCGATAGGCTTACGCCTTGGCTCGGGTTCTTCCGGTCGACCCTCAATGAGTTGGGACCAATAGCATTTCGCATCGGGGCTCGTTCCTAGATTTACATAAATCGACCGAGTGGTGTCAATGTGCTAATGATCGGTTTTCTGCAGGGGAGTTTCCCAACCACAAGGAGTCGGCTGTACCTTTTTATGCGGTTCTCACATTCGAGCAAAGCCTCTCGGAAGATGATAAAGAAAACAATGATTTTTTTACTTTTGGATCTGCTACTATGTAAATCCTTGACGTTTTCAGCAAGGGAGTCCCTTTGTGGAGGTTTTTTTCGGCTTGGTATATCTTTGCTTCCTGTTAGTGGTATATTCCACACTCATCAAATCTTTTAGGATATTGAATCAGAATTTTTCCAAGAGATACACCCACGAGATTCGAGCATCTAAACCAAGCGAGAAAGAGAAAAAGGTAGAGAGGGAGAGATAGAGATAGAGACAAGATGAGAGGAGTGCACAATAACTCGTCCCTCTGGGGCAAACATGGGGTATTCTGGGGCTTGTGATCCTTTTAATATAATCAAAAGTAAAGATTACAGAAAAAGGTGAAAAGCCTAAAGCCCCTTCATATACATGAGAGAAGGGTTAGGAAAAAAAGTATTTTTACATGAAAAGCTCGTTGTATTGATAGAAGATAGTGAGCAATGAAAGAACGTTATATTTATAACCCCTTTATAGAGGGTTGTACATGTTATTATAGTAATTAAATCCTGTGGGTCGAAGTTCCAACCACTCCCTGACTCATTTGACAGGGGCCAAAAAGGTGAATTGGTAAGTGTTATCGGTCAGCCTTCTGAACAGACACCATCGATTGGTGTCATCAACCTTCAGGTATCGGCGACCGGAAGGATGCTTGGAGATAGTTGGGGAGATGAGTCAACCTGGCTGATGTTGGCCGATCGGATGAGTTGAGCCGGTCGTCAGTCCTCGATTACTATTGTGGGAATTATTGTCAACTTAATAGACTTGCATCAACGAACAGAGGACATCTTCTGGACATGTAACATTGGGTCAGTTCAGATAAATACGGGACAAGCATGAGCCGGTCAACTTTCCTGGAGCGTTGTCATGTTTTTAGTTTGCCGAGCTGTTGGATTGCCTTGAGATTTGTGCTAACACATTTTTTGTGTACAGACACCACCTACTTCTAAATATACAGCTGCTTAACACCATAATATCATCATCAAAATGCCATTTATCACGTTTAAGCCAAAAGAGCAATTACTCTTAAGAAATTTAACCTTTATTCAAGCACTTCCAGTGGTATTTTCGGTCATATGGTTCTTGGATTAACATCTTAACACCAACACGGATAGAGAATGAGCGTTCATGCACTCTTAGGAGTACAAGATGCTCCAAAAAGACGTGGATGGCAGAGAACCAGATTAAGCACGGCGAAGAAAGCCTTCGGAGCCAGAGATAATGATGCATTGCCAAAATTCCCACAGGGCCCGGTAGTTCTAAGAATAAAATGATTCTGGCAGGTTGTAGGAGTAAGCAAAGGGTGAATGACTGACAGGTGTAGGTTGAGGTTGCTCCTAACCATTAGGCTACAAGGAGCATGGTCCTTGCATGGACAAGTTTCCCCTTATTCATTGACCTTTCTCAAATAAAACTAGACATCTAGAGGGAAGAATTACTACAAGTTAGAGCATTTTCAAATAATATAAACTAATAGCTCATGTAGGTATCGACGGTATCTTTAAATCTATATTTAAAACCAGCCAATAAAAATAAATACTCTCCATATAGATTCATGGCATCGTCTGCTTCCAGCAATATTACAAGCAAACGGAATGTATATCCCTCCGGTCTAGCGAGGAATCAAGATTCATTTGAATATTATTAAGAAATATATATACTACAAAGAATTCCCTGTTTTGGGGGTTAACAAAAAGCAACAGAATGCACGCAGAAGCTAAACAATACATGAAGAAAAGGCATGAACTCTTATACAATCATCAATCAAGCCAAATTTTTGTTGCTATCTTAAAGAATGTCATACAGGAGGTTCCACATCAGAACTGTATCAGCTCCTAGTACTTAAACAGGTACACGCTTACCTCTGTAACGGTCAAAAAGCTGCATGGAAGCAAAAAAAAAAACGGTAACAAAAAATGAATGACAGTAGGCATGAATTATGGTTATATTATGTAAATTATATTTTCACTGTGTTATATTATGAGAACAATATTTCCACTATGTGCACCAGGGTGCATGTGAACAAGAGTAATATCGTTGTGACCATTGAGGTGGATTACAAACTGAATTTCTTACCGATGTCAAAAAAGGCTGCTGGAATAGCCAACCTATAATTGGAAGTCTCTGCAAGAAAACTGCTATGGTAGGCCAGAATCCACTGCAAGAAACATAAAAAAAAAATAAATAAATAATCTAATGTTAAAAGCCTAAAAATCGAATGAAAAAAAGAAAATGCAAATTCAAAGGTAAGAACAGATATAGTTAGTTTAAATATCTAGCCTCCAAAAGAGTAGCACCGTAACAACAAAGCATTACTCAAGCCACCCTTAAGTATTTAAAGCGTTGATCAGCAGTCAGACACATCGCGCCACTCTCCTCGTCGCACCTAAAGCCCACAGGCTAGCGATCCTGTCCGGTTGTCCACCCCTCGCTGGCAACGTCATGCCATTGATCCGGCCTCCGCCTCTCTTCCTACCCGATTCTTCCTCCTCGTGACCGAGATCTTGCCTTCGCTGTGCACGACCCCGGTCCGTCCCGTTATTCTTGCTTCTTGGTCTTTCTTGTGGCATGAAGTTCTTGGAGCGCTGAAAATTTCTTGGTGCGCCGTTCTCGTATTGTTTTCCCGAACTTTTCTCCTTGGTGATCTTCTGGTTTCTTCGTCTCTTGTCATGGATTTCACTATTCGTGAAGCCGCTCCTTTTCGGAATATTGTTGTTGGGGGTTCTCATGATCCGGGTAATGCTAATTTAGTTTCGTCTTTTAAAAGTCAATTGGTTGATAGCTCTGCTCCGGGGTTACTCAAGAAATTCGCTTGGAAAAATGGTAAGCCGACTATTTTTCTTCAGGATGAGGATCTCAAATTTCTTGTTGAGCCTCTGAAATTTACTCTGGTAGGTAAATTCTCCTTTGCCCATCCCAAAATGGAAGTGATTAGGCGATTCTTTTTGGATCTTAAAATTGCTGGTAAATGGAGTTTAGATTTTATTGATGGTAGACGTCTTATGATTAAGCTAGAACGTGAGGAAGATTATGCTTCTTTTTTTTCGAGGAAGGTTTTACTTATAGATAAGTCTACATGAAGATTTTAAAATGGACCCCAAAATTTAATCCCAGAGAGGAATCTCTTATTGTTCCAATTTGGATTAAATTTTCGGGGTTAAATCTTCATTTATATAACATGAAATTTTTTTATTCTCTTGCATCTATTTTTGGTAATCCGCTTAAGATGGATAATGCCACTTTCAATTTCACGAGGCTATCTGTGGGGACAGAGTTTTGGTGGAACGGGATGTCACTGCTACATTTCAAGATACCGTGTGGAGTGGTAATAGTGTTGATGGGTCTTGGCAGCCGGTTGAAATGGAATTTGTTCCAAGCTATTTTACGCATTGTAGAATGTTTGGTCACTTACATAATTCTTGTTACAGTGCTCATCCTGAGTTGCATAAGAATAAAGAAAAGGTTTCTTTCTATGGTAACAAAAGGGTTCAAGTTACTCAACCTAACTGCGGTAATGTGGAGGAAATTATTCATCTAGTTATAGAGGACTTGGGTAAGAAAGCTGCTGAAGTTATTATTTCTAATGATAATGATGTTGCTATAATGAATGCGAATGATATTACTACTTTTGGTACGACCATTGTTGATGCTCTAAATCAGATGCAAGCTGAAAATGAGCATTTCAGTGTTATCAATCTTGATGACTAATGGGGGCAATGTAACTGATAAAGAATTGGATTCTCATTTTGTTAATCATATTATTTCCAACCATGAATCTGAATGTGTTGTTCCTCATCAAGATATGCCTCAAGATATGATTGTTAATAAAGAAAATGAGAATGGTGAAACCTCTTTTAGTAATCTTGTAGTAGATCATCATATTATTAATATTGATAATATTACTCTAGAAGATGATAATGCTTTAACCAAATCTGAACTTGAGGAAGATTGGATGGTTCAAAAATCTTACAAGAGAAAGAAAATTAAGGGTAGTCGTGAATTAAGTTCTGTGAATACTACTGCTCTTAATGATTAACTTCTGGGTAAGAATTGAGATTCTAATGAATTGAATATTTCCTCTAGAATTATTAGAGGACGGAGAGAACAAGGTGATAAAATTTAATAAGTTATTATGGAATATTATAGACATTGCTAAGGACAATGCTTCTAATCGGCTTAAGAATTTGATATGTTTTTATCATCTGTCTTTCTTTAGAATTCTTAAACTTTTAGTTAATTCTTCTAACAATCATAGGTATGTTAAAAGACTTGGTAATTTTCATTACTTTTGCTAATCCCAATAATAAGATTTGGTTTCTTTGGAAAGATTATATTATAGTTGATATTATTATTAATCATAATCAATTATTGCATGTCGATATTAATTTGAATGAGATTCATTTTCTTACAATTATTTATGTTGGTTTTCATAGAAATGATAGAATTGAGTTATGAAATTTACTTAATTCAATTGATCCCACAACTGAACCTTGATTAGTTGAGTAGATTTTAATATTATTTCCTCTGTTGTTGAGAAAAAGGGTGTTTATCACCTAATCTTACTCTTATCTCTTATTTTAATGAGGTTTTGTTGGATGTGGGTCTTTTTGATTTGGGGTTTCATGGTAATCCATTTACTTGGAACCGTGGCCATGTCTTTGAAAGGCTCGATAGATTTGTTCCTAATTCTGCTTGGATTAATTCTTTTTTTCTGCATAAGGTTCATCATCTTGCGTTTTTGGCTTCTGATCATACCCCGGTTTTGCTTAAAGTTAAAAATGATATAGGTAAGAAGGTTTATCATTTCCGTTTTTATAATATGTGGATTCTTCACCTTCTTTTTCTTATGGGTGTTAAAGAGAATTGAAATGCTCACATAATGAATGTTGTGCTTAATAGTCCTGGTGTTAAGCTTTGGTTGCTTTAAGAAAATCTTGCTAAGTTTCTAAAAAATTGCTATTGGAGTGTTTTTGGAAATCTTAGTAAGGTTGTGGCTGATGCTAAGAATCAAGTTAAGGAGCTAGAATTAGATTACTGTAATAATAGCATTAATTTTGATCTATTGCTTCAAGGGCAGAAGGGTCTGACTAATGCTATTAATATGGAGGAATCTTTCTATGCTCAAAAGGCTGCTCGGGCTAATTTTTTGGATGGTGATCGGAACTCTGCTTATTATCATGCTTGCATTAAGAGAAGGAAGCTTAACATGATTACTAATATTAAGAGTATTAATGGTAGTTCTTTCTCTAATCCAAATGATATTGCTAATGATGGTGTTAGCTTTTTCTCTAATCTATTTCATAATGATGATAGTCCTCTTGCGCAGATTAATGTTGATTTGTATCCTATATATTCTAGCTTGAATAATTTAAATCTTACTTATATTCCTTCTAAAGAGGAAATTAAGGATGTTATTGATGACATGGAGAATGGCAAAGCTGCTGGTCCGGATTGTTTCACTGTAGAATTCTATAAGAATGGTTGGGATATTATTCATCCTGAACCTGTCGAGACTATTCAAGATTTCTTTTATGGTAATGATTTACCCAGAAATTTTAAATCTTCTAACATTTTTCTGATTCTTAAGGAGAATGGTAAGAATTCTTGAAATGATTTTAAACCTATCAGCATTGATATTGTTATGTCTAAGATTATTTCTAAGATTATGGTTAAGAGAATTCAACCTATTTTAAATAGCATTATTTCTTTAAATTCGACTGTCTTTCAAGTGTTTTTCTCAAAGAAAGGCAGATTCAGAACAATGCTTTGACTGTGCAAGAATTACTGTTTGATCTTGATAAAAATAAAAGTTGTGGTAATGTTATTTTTAAGATGGATATTAAGAAAGCTTTTAACTATATCAGGTGGAAATTTTTGTTTGATATTATTAAGGTTGTTGGCTTCAATGATGATTTTCGCAATATTATTAAGAGGAATTTAAATAATAACTATTATTCTGTTATTATTAATGGTACCTCTAGTGGCTACTTTATGGCCTCTAAAGGTATTAAGCAAGGGGATCCTCTTTCTTCTTACTTATTTATTCTTGCTTTTGACTATCTTTCTAAGGAGAGATTATTGCGTGCGGACACCGCATGCAGAGATGGATGCGGGGGGCGCGCCC